CTTTCAACAAGATGCGCTTCGTATAAATCTGTGGTGCCGAAGGTGAAGGAACTGTGAAAAATGTGACTATGCAAAATGATACAAACGATTTGAAAATGGTGATCTCAGCCTCAAAGACCAACCTGGCTCGGGCTAGCCATTGAAATTGGATGATAAAGATCTGCAAGCAGCTTCAGGATGCGGAATGAGCATCAAGTACTCATGAAAGGGCAAGAGAACTTATCGTTAATCAAAAGGCTGTCTGGAATAATCTTCCACAACCTGACTTGGCCCACAAGAGACTTCGTCAAGATCCTCACAAACTGACTGAAGCTCAAGCCAATCGCCACGTTGAGGTTTGCCCTCAGTTGTTAGAACCCGTTCGTTGGTATCGCTGGATCTTTGGCAGAAGATCGTGTTTAATGAGGGCCTTTGTTTTGAGGATTATTTATTGGTGCTCTTGATTGAAGTTATGCATAAACTTTGAATTTGCAGCGGGCGTTGAGGAACATATTCCTTAGCATAAAAGCTAGATTACAGCTTTTCTCAGTTTGAATCTAATGTAATGTCTGTTTACAACAACTAACCGCTGGATACAAAAAAAGGAGTGCAGGAACAGTACTTTTTGCAGCAGAATATACTACCAGTATGAAAGGTCAGACGGTTGTTATTTCCTTTAATATGGATATTTTGAGCGCTTTTCTCATAATGCCATGATTTGCAGAAGCTAAAGTAAATTGGTCTACGATATGTGTCGCAGACTAATATAACAAAATCAATTACTGCGAACCAGACGCAAAACAACCTTTGACAGGTGATTGTTCTCCATATTGGATTAGAGCGGTCACCTACGCTATTATCTGACAGTGTCAAGTCTCTGAAGCTAATGCCTGCTTTTTGACATGACCTACATTTTACTCTTAAATTCCTTTTTACTTATCTCTCGAAAACAAAACATATCTCTTTGATGAACGGAAATAATTAATGGGAGTAGGAAGAAAACGCTGCAACACCAGCGACCATTGTACGACAACAGTTCAATTAGTGAACTACAATAGTGTATGTAGAATATTCAAACATAGTGATTTAAAATTTTGTTCAACGACCTAGGTCAATTGATTATACAAAGTCAACGATGAAATAGAATGCATTTCAATATTCAGCCGCTTTTAGCAGTGGTATGATGTCAGAAATATACTCACTGATGTAGAGTGATGTGCAAAACGTTTGTGTTAGCGGAACTTGAACCGGCATTTCATCCTATCCGGGAACGTGTGCTCTATCTCTTGCATCACCGCCGTCTGTTTTGCCACCACTTTTTCTAGGCTATAACTCATCAATCTGACTGCACATCAACGCTTAAGCCTAGGTAATCGGTAGTGACATCTATCGACATAAGAAGAGTGGTTGCCAAACAGGCGTCGGTGGTGCCAAGGTTAGAGCACGCTCCCCTGATAGAGTGAAATGCGGGTTCAAGTCCCGCCTAGCGCAGATGTTTTGCACATCACTCTACATCAATAACTTTTAAGTGTTATTACGCCAAAGAAAATGTAGTGATACGTATGCACGCTATCACTTGCATCACCTGTCGCCACGCTGATCGTCGAGTGACTCGAGCGCGTACAAGCAACACTTTCAATTTTCCATATTGCGCGCAAGAGTAGCGCAGTGGGTTCTGCTCGCTTTAGGAATTCGCTGAGTATCATATCTTTCTTCTATTTTTTTTTTGTGAGGGAATCCGACCACCGGTGCAGTGGTTTTCCTGTAGGGCATTTGATGTTCAGAGGAATCCAATAGTTACGGCTCTCGCCCATCGGTTGTCGTTGAAGCGCATCGCGTATCCGGCCCACCTTAGTTTCGATATCTCTGCGTGGAAAACGGCGCCTCTGATCTTCGATCGTTGACGCATATCGCAACTTCTGATCCTTTCTCTCATTTGTAAGATACGGGGTACTCCTAGCATTGACCTTTCGACTGCATCGAGATCTATCTAAAAATGCCCTGATCTTGGCTAAATCGTTTAAAAGAGCACAGAAAATTTATTTTGAATATTACACGGCTATGCTCTATTATAGTATAGCACCTTCATATCCTATTTACGTCATTACTCAGTCCGTTTCAATCGGATCCAGGATCCAATAGTACCAACTGATTGCTGGCATTGAGATCTATCTAAATGCTCTCATCTTGGCTGAAAGGTTCAGAAGCGCACAGAAAATTCATGTTGAATACTACATTTCTATGCTCTATCATAGTATAGCATCTTCATATCCTATATACGTCATTACTCAGTCTGTTTCAAACGGATCCGGGATCCAATAGTACCACCTGATTGCTGGCATCGAGATCTATCTAAAAATGCTCTCATCTTGGCTGAAACGTTTGAAAGCGCACAAAAAATTCATGTTGAATATTACACGGCTATGCTCTATTATAGTATAGCACCTTCATATCCATACCTTCATATACAGTGTGAATCTTGACTAGCCACACTATGGCTGGACAATCCAGGCTATTTCATATGTGTGTTCATAAAATTGCGCTTGTATAATAATATGTATTCCGTATCTGGTCGACCATTTTCTAATTAGAGATCGAAAACCAGTGTATAAATTTTGTTCTAAGGTTTGAAACACACTAAAATTGTTAAAGAGACTGTTACTTTTGCCAGTTGCAATAGGAAGGCCTTCAGGCTCGCCACGGCCATGATCGTCGACACCGCAATGTTCTCTGATTGAATATGCAGCAGTGGGTTTGAGAGAGCTGCCATCTGAGAAACATATGAGATTTCTATTGAAGGGAATTTAAAAACACTTAGTAGGAAACACTTAACGAAAATAAATAGATTTACGCCTGCGAATCAACCACTTATTCGTCGCTTGTGCACTACAGTGTGACCTATAGAATGACTGGAATTTCTTGAAATTGAGTAAATAAAAAAATTTCATTTGATCTTAAATACCCAATATCTGTCAGCGCGACTGGGTTTAATGTCGATGCCGACTACCAGGGCTAGGCCGCTGACGGCTGTCGTCTGACAGATGAATGCGCTGTAGCGTAGAAAGAGTTTTGTGTAAAATGGGAGCCAGTGGTGTAGCGGATAGGCACGCGCTCCCGGAGAGAGTGAGGGAGGGTTCTAGTCCTGCCTGACACGGAAGTTTTGCGCATCACTTTACATTAATGCGTATATCTCTTGAAATTATTTATTAGAACGTCTTAAGCCTATTTCAGGTCCATCTCCCACTTTGTGATTCCAGTGATAGAACGATGACCTTGAAAAGCAAGACCTTCTTGAATTTATATTGATTCCAATGTTTTGAATGTATGTTATGTTCCGAGTTAAGAAGCGAATGTCAAAACGTTGGGAAACCTTAAATTGTTATTTTCGAGTCACGCATTCACACTACACACATCAGGTCGAATCACAACACTCAACAATTTATCAGCTAAATTCCATCATTTTTGTATTCCCCAAACTTCACCAAACAAGTGCTTTATAGTACAAGTGCATCCTGCCAAAAGGAAAATAAAGACAGTTACTAGAAGCTAAAATATTGAACAGTTAATCAATGGTTCACCTCTCAGGTGAGGACAGCGCGTTTCGAGATGTGTAAAAGTGGCGTAGATCAAAAAAAAATTTACTCATTTCAATATCTCATTGCTTTCTTCAACATCTTGAAGACCAATGTAACTCGGTTTTTTCAGGTATTTAGTAATCACTCAATAGATATAATCTCGGTGAGTCTACTAACATATCTTTCGTTTCGAGTGTTTTCTTGAGACCACAACTCAAATTTCGTTATTCCAAAAAATCATTTTTGAGCCACGCATGTCATGTGGTCTTTTAAGATGGGCTGACTTATAGAGCGCGACACACGTGTTTCGGCCTTGCGGTCTCGTCGGTCGGGCAGTTACCCTTTCTCGTCTTTTGCCAATCCTGTTCGGGTGCTCCAGTCCCCACATGAAGAGTTAGCGTCGACGAACGTTTTGCACTCAATATCCTGTGAAATTATCACCGAGCACAGAGTGTTGTACACTCGATTGCTCTTGGCTAGTATATTTATTATATTTTATTTCCGAAAACCCTTTATATAGCGCTTTTGCAGTAAAGACATAAGGTTGTTTGATAAGTTTTGGCAAAAGATGGATGGCTGCTCCAACGATTTTTCAGATGTGATAGTCTCACAACACTCATTTGCATACATAAAGCTATGAATGTCTTCATTTCTTCCACAGTGGTATCCTCTCAAGCGGCGTTCTTCTAAGTGCCATTAGATATTCGTCGTTTTACAATCAACTCCCAAAGATCGGTCATGAGCAGTTCGTAGAAATGATCTGGTTGCAGACACCCGGTAACAATACTGTGTTGGACACCTGCAGCTGAGTTATCGAAGGGCAGGACGGCGGGTGGCTGCACATTGGTGGTCCAATCACCAATTGCAATGTCAATATTTAGAGGAGCTCTTTGTGCATCGTCAGTTCTGCCATCGTCATCCTCAAAACCGTGTGGAGTGTGTGTACGTTTTTGTCTATGCTCGCGTCTGTTTCTACGACTGTCCGTCACCGCTTACAGCCAAGTCTTGGAACATGGTTCCCAATTCTTCGTCTTCAAAAGCTTCCCAGTATTCTTCTCCTAAGGCTTCCCTGTCTTTTTCTTCTCAGATGACGGTTCTGAAAGGTAAGCTCTTGAATATTCGTAAGCAACTTAACAAGGTGTAGTTGTAGTGGAGTAAAACGCTCACATCGATAGTAAGATGAAGAAGAGAAGCGAATACTCGTAAGCAGCTAAATTACCAAAACGATAACGATGTGGCAGCTAGTTGGCGAGGATGCTACGGAGCAATCAATGAATTTGTATATTACAACCTTCGCGCACAAGTGCTATGACTTTAATCTATGTAATTATTTGCTTGATCTATACATCTGGCAAAAGTCCGCAGTAGGTCTTTGGAGCAGTGTTTAAGACATCAAGTTTCATCAGTATAGAAGACCTTTTATTCGAAGTGTTCATTTAGGCATGACTTCTCTCACAATATTAACAACTAGCAGCTTTATGATATCATCCATAAACCTGTATCAATCACCTGTATCACCTGTCGTCCCGTTGATCGTCGAGTGACTCGAGCGGGTACCAGCAACTCTTCCATTTTTCCCTATCGCGTGCAAGAGAAGCCCAGTGGGTCCTCCTTGCTCTAGGAATTCGCTGAGCATCATATCTTCTTCCATCGCTTTCGTGAAGAAATCGGACCAACGGGTCAGTGGTCTTCCTTTAGAGCGCTTGACGTCCCGAGGAATCCAGTCGGTAACGGCTCTCGTCCATTGGTTGTCGTTGAAGCGCATCACGTGTCCGGCCCACCTTATTTTCGATATCCTGGCGTGTAGAACGGCGTCTCTGATTTTCGATCGTTGACGTAGGTCGGAAGTTCGGATCCTTTGTCTCATTTGCGAAATACGGGATACTCCTAGCATCGACGTTTCGACTGCGCGTTCGATAACGGCAAGTGATCTTTCATCCTGCTTACGTAGCGACCAGGTTTCTGCTGCATACGTTAGGGCAGGGATAATTGTCGAGTCGAAAAGGTGGGCACGGAGTCGGATGTTCTTTGTCCTCTTCACTACATCTTCGATGCTCTCAAACGTTCCCCAAGCCGCTCGTTTCCTCCTGCTCAACTCTGGGGCTAGGTCGTTCATCATGTTGATTTCACGACCTAGATAGATGTAACTGGAGCATTCGGAAATTGTCGTTCCGTTGAGCGTGAATGGGGCATTAGAAACCCATCCGTTCCTCATGAGCATTGTTTTCGTTAGATTCAGTTGAAGACCGATCTTTCCACAGGCGTTATCGAAATCAGTCAACATTCGTTCCGCTTGGCTGATGTTTGGTGTTATGAGAACGATATCGTCAGCAAAGCGAAGATGGTTTAATTGTCGACCGTCAATTTTCACTCCCATTTCGTCCCATTCTAATGTTCGCATGACGTTTTGCAGGGTGGCAGTGAATAGTTTTGGCGATATTGTATCGTCTTGTCGAACCCCTCTTCTTACGTCAATGGTGATGTTGTTGTAGAATGGAGATATTCTGGTCGTGAAATCTTTATAAAGCTCACGAAGGATCATTATGTACCGAGTAGGGACGCCCTGGTTATCCAGAGCCTCTATAACCGCTTCTGTTTCCACTGAATCAAAGGCTTTTTTCAGATCGATAAAAGTGAGACAGAGTGGTTGTTTGTACTCTCGCAAAACTTCAATGAGTCTTGTGATCGTGTGGATGTGGTCCATGGTACTAAATCCTTTTCTGAACCCTGCTTGTTCGCATGGCTGTCCTTCGTCCAGTGTTCTGTCAATCCTGTTCAGGATGACTCGAGTAAAGAGTTTATAGACAACGGACAGCAAGCAGATTGGGCGATAATTGCCTATGTCGTGAAGGTCTCCCTTTTTGAACAACAATACGGTTTTGCTGGTTTTCCATTGAATAGGGACCTTGCATTCTG